CCAAAACTCTATAACCACCGTTTTTGCAAGACAAAATGCTGGGACTAGGGGTGTATGAGTGGGGTTACATAAGCTACTTTTGCCCGAATTAAGATTTGAACCTTGTTTACTTTGATATTCAAATGATTAACGTCAGCGACCGTCCCGTCAGTTGCGATCGGGAATATTAATGATCATTTGGGTACAGAAAGGGAGGTACCGATGAATACAAGGAAGATTTTGGTGGTTACTTGTGGCTTATTAGTCGGCGTTGAGCAATCTTAGCTAACCCTTAAATCTAATAACCTGGTATTTGAAACCGTTATTTGGTCCTCGAGCCTTTCTGAGTCCAATGCTCTTCTATGGAACCACAGGTCCGTTGTCCCAGACTCCATTACTCATACTGTATTCCTTTCTGTATTCTTATCGGCCGCTATGCGACTACTTGCGAGGCCGCTAGCTGGAGCCCCAAGTCGCAACGGAACCAGCATTTCCCACAATCTTAGCCATTTGCTATCTACGTCTACCTATCAGTCCTAGTCGTAGAACGAAATACGAGCAATCCCCCTCTTGCTTACAATTGCATTTATTTTGATTTGGTGGGCTTTTTCTGTCTGTTCCATAGATCGTCTTTCTCCAGTCTGACACGAGGGGTCCAGATGTCGTCGATGAGATCTGCCTAGAGCTGGGTCTCGGCGCCAAAAACGAGTTCGCTGTCTACGTGGAGCTGGACGGTGAAAAACGTTGCATTCAAGACGAAGAGTTTGTACTGGACTGTTTGCATTTAACTCTACCGGATATGTGGTATAAGAGCAAAAGGCCACTCCTGGGTGAGCGTTTTTAATTAACTTGTTTGCAACACCTTCATGTGAACACGAGTGATAAGAATTTCAAAACATCGCACCAAAAGCATGGTATCCCGATTTTTGAAGAGCTTATGAAGTCTATCCACAACACGGGCTTGCAGTTTGTTCACCGGTATTAAGATGAAACCGAGGTAGTCGCTCTTGTGGATATCTCTTCAATGTTTCAGTGTAGTTTAACATTACTGCCGGCAATTTGCTTAGACAACGGAATATGCAGCTCCCGCAAACTGTTTTCCTACGATGAGATCACCGCCTAACAATCTAAACAAGGCAACGCTAAAGAGTTTTGTAGGATTTAACGATGTCATACAATTTTGTGACCTCTTATTCAACTGCATACGGCCATTGCCTGTTAATAAGATAAAACAAACTGCCCAATTAAGTATCAACCTAGATGGCTGAAACTTGATACATAAAAAGCTGTTGTTTTTAGTATTCTGGCATAGACAGGCAAACCGCAGTACAAACAAATACAAAATAGCTGTTGATTTTAGGTGCGGGTGTAGGGGTTAAGGCTAATACGGTTAACCCTAACACCTACGATCTTCCAGGCCCGGTTCCTTAGGAGATGGTAGAAGTCTTGGGAAGGCCAGAGTAGAAGGGATAGTTTATTGTGTACACAAAGGAACGGAGAATAGGTGGAGAGAAGTTGGACTTCGGACACACGTCATTCCGCTGAGCGCCGTGGTCCTAAGTGACGTCTGGCGGCCGAGGGTAGGGAAAAAGGGACTTGTTCGAGTGGTGCTTGGGCGGCCGTGAGAACCTAGACGCACATATGTTTGTCCGAGTGGAAGTAGGTCAAGGCTCTGCAGGTCAGCGCGACTGTACGCGCTGATTATGGTATTGGATGACCTTGGGGCAGCTGGCCTTGAACAATGACGCCGGACAGAGCAATGGAAAGTGTCGGACGGCAGAGACCACTACAGGGGGACGCATACTGAGAGGTAAGAGGAGGGGGAGGCAGTTATCGAAGCAAGGCAGTTTGTGTTACAGTGAAAGCCTGTCAAGCGTGATTAAAAGGGTGGTGGGGGGGGCAGATGGCAGGGCAGCAGTCGGTCATGCGGGGAAGGAGGGAGCGTGAGAGGACGGGAGGGGGGATGGGTTTAGGTCCTTTATCGGTCTTTATCACGGCCATGCGAGGTTGATCACGTGATCCAGCTGCTTACAGAGCTCTGGTTTTCTCTGTATCGCAGCGGCCTTCGCAAATCGCAGGAGACGCCTGAAGTACGAACTTGAATGCAACCCTTGGATGGACCTTATGGCCAATGTCCACCATGTGCTTTATGATTCGAGAGCACCTGCTGAATGGCCCATTCGTGTATAACGCGCTTGTTTTGTTTAGGATCCTGTTTCAGGAGACAGGATTTCACGTCAGAGAGTAGTCCAGGCAACTGATTCAAACTTTAAACTCATAGATGACGTGGGATCTTGGGTTTAACTTACTTACCACTTGCAATCAAGCAACGCATTAAGACGTTTTCTGTCTTTTCTCATTGCTAGCAACTCATTGCTAGTAACTCATTCCCCTCAGTTGCTTTCTAAGCATTTCCACGTCAGTAAGCATCGGAAAGAGTAGGCTGACTTTAGGCGCGCCTGACTTTAGGCGTGCCTGACCTTTTAGATCTATAGTGATTCTGGAACGATGACGGGTAGTATTTTTGACACGTTATGAAAAAGCTATTCACCCAGCACCTGCAAAACTGGGAGGACGAGCGCTTATTGAAAGAAAAGGGAGTCTTGGTGTCGAACGAATTGTTATGTTAATTTAAATTGGTACTTTTGTGTTAGGGAATTTTATGATCATTTGAGATCTCAGTTCGAGTTCCGAATTTGCATACCATTCGTATATTTATGATTGAACGTAGGTAGAGCGAGAAACTCAAGATATATATCTTACCTCTAGTGCCTGTCCCATCTTACTTCAAATTGTCTACAGTTTTGGGAGAATGTGGCGTCTCCACGACACTTTTTAGGCCTTCACAACAATTAGAACTGTATAACCCATATTTGTAGGTGAAAAAGCCGTGTGTGGGTCTCCCTGCAGATAACAGCAAGTTATACGCGGTTAAGTCAGCCTCTTGTCAGTACTTAGACCGTTCCACTTGGACTTCTCGTCGATTATCCCATTGAACATGTTTAACGGCTTCAAGTACAAAGTCATTAGATAAACGGGGCAAATTTGCGACATAAATTTTGTATCTGGTGATCTTTATAGAATTGATTTATACAGATCGCACACTGTATGATGGTGTGGGGAGACCGATTCCCTTGAGAGTCAATATCGAACATTCTGTTCGGAAGCACATCAGCATCTTAAAGTTACCATGCGTTCGAACGCTTTTTGGATTTGGGGACTCTTTCTATAAGATAACGTACGGGTGGGCTTTCGTTGAAGTCCAATATGGGTCTCTATTAGTGTCCTAACCCTAACCTTAACCTTAAATCTGGCCGTAATCCTAACCCCAATTTCCAAGGAGTTTAACTCAAGGCTACCTATATAAAGGGGGTCCTATTCTTGTGTCCAGCATTTTTGGTCATTTACTTAACTCTACACTAGACTTAGACCTTCACAAAAGGCGCTGTTAATTAGAGTAGGCCACAGAGAGTATTGCTAATGTGCATCAAGCTAGCTAAATCAAATAATTAGACACGCTATGGGAGTTACTGTGCCCTTTTCTCGCCGAGGCTGTGTATCCACAAACTCTGTTTCTTGCATTTATGACGAACACGATGTCTCTCCATAACTCTTTGGTTTTGCTTGCTACAAGGTTACTGTGTAATCGTTGGCCCAGTAGCCTGGAGGCTTTGAGGACACATTTAAGCAAACATTTAATGTACAAAGGCGAATAACGCAAGAATAAATTATCTGAAGTGCTAATGTTCCAAAAATGCATCGGCCTACCAAACTTTCATAATAAAGTGAAAAATAGTTTCAAGACGTGGAGTTGACGCCGAGTGAGATTTCTCAGAGATTACTTAGGGCTCGGCCGTAATGCCACCGTTTAAGAAGTTAGCGGGAGACCATTTTTGCACTTTTGCGTTTTAAGCACCATCACAGCGTTGAGATAGGAATCCTTACAAAACCTTACGATTATATAATACTATTTTTCTCTCTACCAGCTCTGCCTTCAACTCCACTCTACTTTAAACGCAAGCTCTGGCTTCAGTCTGCTCCTGGCTTGGGCAGCGTTGCGGATAACGTCATCGATTCTCATCAGGTAAACCGCCTGGTCGTTGTAGGCTACCTAAATACTTTGCCAGACATAATGTCTACACGTGGTCACAGCCCCTATCACTTTAGTCACTTTTTCCGAATCTTGGCAACACCCAGAAGTCTTTATTCTTTCTAAACACTCCTCTCGACTGTAAACTTTATGTATAGTGTTAGGAGTTGTGGCGGACGGCCCATTAATACTGTTCCCCTCCCAATGCTCCTTGCACCAACGTCATTTGTTTTTGCACGCGGCTGTTCTACTAAGTGACCTGAAGACCCTCATCCTGGTGACTCTTGCCTTTTCCCTCCAACCTGGGGTTCGACCTGATGATTTTAGTTATCTAGGCACAACCATTACTTAGACCCCTACAGAGTCTAGCCTGACCAAATGCTAGCAACATCGCAAGCTCTCCTAAGGTGTCGTGCCTGTGACCGTCTGCCACAATTATTCCTTTCTCAATGCGGCCTGCCACAATGTCTTTGTGTCCTTGCTTTGACCGCCTCCACGCGATAACCTTAAAGGCTGGACCGGAGACAGACGCACGCAAGTCCAGGCGCGTGCCCAACTAGTCGCAGTTTATCAAGGGCCATTTAGGTTCGCCACGGCAGATGACATTATTCCGAAGCGCCTACTGAGGCCACAACCGAACGCGCTTGGCAATCACTTATAAGCCACTGTCACTTCTCAGGCATTGGGTTACACACGGACTGCGAGGACACCGTCGGTCCATTCCAATGCTGGGGCTTGCCCCGAGGCCGGGCAAACAACGCGCTGGATATCAATCAGCGGCAACTGCCACCCAAGAAAGCAACTCCGGGTTTTGTACACAATAAACCCTCCTCCGGGTGGATTCCAAAGTTACGCCCTTGTTATTGTGTCCTTCCTTGGAGATTCCAAAGGGCGTAGTTAGACGGTGACACCACTGAAGTCACCGTTACAACACATAGTTATATCACAAAACTTCCAACTTTATGTCCTGCTCCTGATTGAAAAATACGCATCTATAGGACCGTACTCCTACTAACCGTTTTACGTGAACTGCTCATTACGAATGGGTGAAGATCACTTGAACAATTAACGTTAGTACACTGTATGTGTAAATACTTTAACTTAAAGGACAACTTCACTGCACTCAACTCACAAGGACAGAAAAGCATGGATTCACACTGAACAGGCTGAAACAATGATTGCCGATACAAGCGAACACGCGTGTCCCAGGAAGTAATTGAGAAGAAGAAGACTCGATCGCTGGGACAATATGTTTATTCGCCTGACATTTCGATGTCCGTCACGGATTCATCATCAGAGACATGAACAGTAGCAGAAACGGGCGATGATTCCATGTTAACTTAGCCGCCAGACAGGAATTGATTGTCGGCATGATATATTCATTTAATACCGGAGGAGGTCAACCAGTTTGCAGGTTAGAATTGGCAGCCTTCAAGATGATTATGCAGTGACTATAGCAAACTGGCTCTGAGATGTTGGGAGGAGGTGGCCAAGTTGTGTCTTCTAAAGAAACACAACTCTGGAACGAAGTTAAGCAACCAATTTAAGTGCAATTGATATTGTCGCGAGCCAGCCCGTAAAGCAATAGAAACCTAGTGTTTGTGAATGAACGCGCCGAGCTTTGGACACAAAACCTGCACGGTGCATCCTGTGGTAGAGCAACCTCTAGGCTGAAAGGTCACATTCTGAAGATACTGTATGTTTATTTGTCACAAATAATATGTGCACTGTGTTCAATTGGTTACTTAAAAAACTTGCCACAAGCAACTTCTAACGTTAGCTCCCTGGGAGTGTTACAGTCGTTCAGGACTATCGTCTGTCCTATTATCTAACGTCCAAGCATGTCCATAGGCAAGCTTCTTGTGCAAAGGACTTTATATGCCTACTCGACCAGCTCTTATTGTTTGTCTGGCATTTGCCTTTAGCTCCGCTCTTCCCTTTTGATGTCTTTGTCTTGGATTGTAGGAGTTTGAAAATTTCCTCCGAGGTTACCATCGGTGCACTTTCGAACAGTTCTTGGAGTTAAGCACCCTTGTCTACATATGGCGCGGGCAAAGGTTTGTAAATTAAATTTAACAGGATTTCGACATCTTTTTCCTCTTTAATTTTGGTTTGGCAAACCCCTATCATTACTATTTAGCGTTCCTATTATTCTTAAGTCTTCAATAAATAAATAAAATGTATATTTAAGGCCCAAGAGGCCCTTCCATTTTAAACTTAGTGCTGTGGTAAAAAGAAATACAAAGTTTATAATCACAGCTGCGCGAGGCGATTGTATAGCAATACGAATGAGCAATCTGTTATACCTATCAAGTCAGATCCGAGTTAAAATGCACCCTTTTTTCAATACTAATCAACAATATGAGGTAGCTATGGTTAACTGAGAACGAGGCAGTGAAAATAAACTCCTATATCGGTGGCAGGAGTTTTTTTCACTGCCTTTTTCTCAGTTCACCATATTAACCTTATATTGTTGACTATTGTTTTAAAAAAGGCGTTTTCTTCTTTATAGGTTTTGCCGCTTTTAGCAAGTCCTACCCATGTTCTCCTATTTCAAAAGAACTAGAAGGCGTTCATCGAGAGAGCTTCATTGAAAGTCTGAAGTTTCGAGGATTCATTTCGCCTATCGATGTGGCTTAGGCTAATAAGGGAGACCCTTGTCGCTGCAATCTTCAGGCCCGGTTCCGTGTGGGAAGAGAATTAGTGGGACACTAGGTGGGAGGAATAGTGCATTCTCTAAAGACCTAGTAGAGAATAGGTTGGAGGTAGTTGGCAGCCGAAAAGGCGCGCCCCCGCAGCCGCGAGAGCCGGCGTGCGAGTTGTGAGAGCGCGGGAGTCGTCACAACACCTCCAGAAAGGTCATGGGTGAGTCAGCCTCGGGAAGGTGATTGGCCCAACCGTAGTGGGGCCAGCAAACACTAGTATGCAAAGCCGCGAGAGGTCGAGCGCTACACGCGGAGGTGGGTCACTAAAAGTCTACCCATCTTCGGAGACAGGAAATTAATGCGTACAGCTCTCACTATACAACACACTTCGCCTGGGGCGTAGCCTACCAATGCCGACTGAGAAATCACCTCGGTCTTTTATTTCACCACGACCTGTGTCGCCCTCATAGGCCACGGGTCTTTCATGGCTGGCGTCCAGACGAGTCCGACATACGAAGGCAAACAATTCATAATTGTGAAAGAGTAAATTACAAGCATCCCTCTTGTTGGTTAGGCTTACATTATTGCTACTCATTTTCACTTTGTGCTGTATTAAAAGTGTTAGTGCAATTGCGGTGGAGGCGTCTGGTACTTTACTCAAGCCCACTCCTCCATTATTGGTTGCTCGTCAAAACGTACCCGTCTGCGAAAGCCTCCGACGAAATTTCCGAAGCAATAAGTAATTGTCCAGGTTCCTTTTTGCAGTCATGTCGGATCAGTTAGTGCTATTTCCATGCGCTAGTAACCCCACAGACTTGCCGTCAGTACAATTTGTCGTTGAGGTTTTGATTAGTTGCCCGACTGTGCGGAGCGAACTGTGATCACTTTAGACATCCACAAAAGCCGGCTCAGTCGTTTAATTGTGACCTTCATTATGCCTTACCCTTGTGGATTTCCACCATCCTTGACATCCCGCTGTAAACTGCATTCTCCCGTTTCTATATGTGCCGGCTGGATTTGCTGGTTGAGGCCTCAAACCACAAATATTCCTTTTATGGGGGTCACCTTTTCCGTTCTGCTTGAAAACATAAATGTCTGACTGTTTTCGATTACACGAAGGTACCTTTTTCTGTGCATTGATGTAGGCTGCCAGCTCCGTTTTATGTGTCACGTATGGTATATATTTTCGACAAAGACCTCAGCAAGCACTCTGGTGTGATGACAAACAAAACACATCTCTCCTGACTGCTTATTTGGGTAATTAGTACAAGTTTTCATTTTCCGCCCGGAGCGTGTAAATTTATGTCACCCTGAGGCTGTCCTCAGTTATCGTTAATAAACAACGAATGGGGAGAAAAATATGGCTAAAGTTTAAAAGCCAAGTTTATAATGTGTAGACTGTCTTTGGGGTGTGGGACTAGACGTTTTTTCAAAGGCTCGTTATGCCTCGATCTGTTGCATTGCATGTTGAGTCAATAAAACATGCAGACCGGAAGTCTGAACTTCAGCACACATTGCGACATGCAATTTCCAAAAAAGAAGAATACGCTTCTTTCGCCTGAAAGAGATGACGAGATATCCTAGAGGGAACGGAACAATTTGAAAATTATCTTGTTCCTTGGGTGCATGAAAGCATAATAAAAACCCTCCCTCCACGTTTTTAATTATCTTTATTTCGATGGTATCTGTATTACCTTCGCTGGGTACATTTACTTGTGCATAATAACTCTTTTGTTTTCTATGCTGTAAAAGAGTCATTTTAACGGGACTTCTACCCCTTATTTTAGGGTGTCCGCTGAACGAATGTTACCAAGAAGTATGCTGAGCCGCATTTATGAGCCCGACTGGATCGAGGTATCTTCTTTGTCCTGACGAATCTCTCCGTAGAGCCCTTCGTTACTCGTCTTGTACTCTATAATTTTCATCAGACCACTAGCAGTTGCAAACCAGCTTCCTTTCCTGCTCTAAATGCACATAAACTTTCTAACGTCGTCTGTCAATTACTTCTTTCATAGACAAAAACCAAACGTTTTCCACTCATTCGCATCAAGGAATGCTTTCTGATGCTGAATAGGTGGGGAAAAGTTCGTTTATTTGACCCGAAAGACTATTAAGCGTCTAATTCAACAAAGGTTCTCATCCTTTCTTCTCGACCGGTCCGTCTTTTTCTTATTACTGATAACACTAAGAAGAAGACGTCGGTATTATTGACAAAACTAAAAAGCCCGTCTTCGTGTGCTTTACACGAGCTTGACCTCCAAACACTACAAG